GGTATCGGTTTTTTGTTATCGGTTCGGTTACCGAACCGATACCACCCCTAATTTTTGTTGTGATGCCAGCATTCGTGTAGATACTGTTTGTTCAAGAAAACGCGATTGTCTTTCGAGCTTTATGTGAACCGGTACAAGGTGATTGACAAATAGTTTCGAACTAAAAATGATCGGGTGACTTGTATGTATCGCATTTTCAAATGGTTTGTCAATGATCGTGATTAAGAAAATTTTCTGATTCAATCCTATATTTCAGCTTTGATTTCCAGAGTTAGCTTTGAGGCAAATATTTCTGCTGTGTGGTCTGAAACAAGCATAGTTCGTTTACGGATATTTGTTATACAAACGCTCGTATAGGGACTACTCGAATCTGAGTTTATTAGCAATATTTGTTATACAAACGCTCGTATAGGGACTACTCGAATCTGAGTTTATTAGCAAGCGGCGTACGTGTGTTTTGTAGCCTTCGTTGTATTCGCTCGAAAGTGTCGTAGACAATATTTTTCGTCTGAAGTTCGTGTGTGACCTCACAAACACAGACTAAAGCTCATCTGTCAGCAAACACAAAAACAAATCAACAATAAAATGAAGTAGCAATATACACAATCATCTGTTGTGGTGTTTACATACTCTTGACCAAAAAACTCCTTTGAACAAGCTAACAAAACCACCTAATTCACATCACACATCTTTATAATCTTTCGTATACGAACAGAGCATAAAAAACAGTATAATATGCTACATATCATCTCGTGATTTTGCACCGGCTGGAACCACAACATTATCTGTCGATGAAGTGCTTGCTTCAGTCTGGACAACACCGTCACTCGACTTGAACGAGGAGTTACTGTCAGTAGGTACAGCCAAGCCCGGAACAACCAAACCGGGCCCACCAGACACGGACGAAAGAGAATCTTCGTCATCTTCCGAAGATTCCCCCTTCGGAAAAGCCTCTTTATCTCCAGCCCTCGACTTTCTCGAAGCTTTCTGAGAAAGCACGCTTTTCAAGTTCCTTGCCGATTTTCCAGCCTGTTTCAAAATACTCTTCGCCACATCCTTCACATTGCCACGCGGGCTTCCCGGCCCATTCCCTCCATCCAGCTCACTCTCTTCAACTTTCGACATAATAGATTCGTCCATTATCCACCTCACCCCAACTTCTTTCGCGTTCGAAGCCCTTATGTTTTCACGTGGGGAAGGCTCAACCAAACCAATCGGGCCCGACTTGTCATCATCGTCCCTCGGGCCTCTGTGGAAAACCGACGAGATTTTTCTCAAGCCCCTCCGGACTTTCGAAGGCGATTTAACGGGCTCGGTGCTTTCATCGGTGCTCGTGCCATCATTTGCGTGCGGGTCGCACGTCTCACCTTGAATGAGCCCGTTTTGGTGGTGCCGGTTTTTTCCTTTTCTGGGTTCCCACACTTGTGCAACTTCACTGCCCGGGTGGTGGATCCAAAGCCCGGTGTCAGATTGTCCCTGGATATCGATGGGCTCGAATTTATCAGCAACTTGTAAGGATTGTCCAGATAGTTCGCGTGAAAACGAGTCTTTTCGTGAATCATCGGTGAAAGAGGGTCTTCTTCTAACGTTGTCTTCTTCGAGTATTTCTGCTTCAGGTGGAGGTTCTACAACCTGCTTTAATGATGAAAATAAAGCTTAGCATTCAAAAAAGGCTTATCAAGAGAAAATCCGATTCTCGGCCAAGAAGCTCACAAAGATCAACTACAACACAATGTCATGTCCGGACCTCTCGGTTTCTAGTATTTGAGAAAGCATTAGAAAGTCAAAAATGAAAAGATGTTCATATGTATGTGTATTTGCATGGTCGATCAAACTATTAGTTAGTGTAGGGAAAAAAAAAAAAGAAAAAAAAGAAAGATCAATCACTAAACTAAACTAAAGCACTCACAGCTGATTTTGCAACTTCTGTTCCAATTAACATGTCCACAACAACGTAGCCTCAATTTCACTTTCAGACATACATCCATGGCACGCTTCCTGTAACACTCGCTCCTCTTAACATTATAAGGTACAAATTAGGATATTTGATCGAGTTTTTAACGGTTAACCAAATCTTCAAAAGTCAGTCATTTTATTAATACAAATTAGGCACTCGCTTTGTCTCCTGTCGCTCAATAATTTTATAGCTCAAGAGTACTCACAAAAAGATTTGCACATAAAAATTCTACGAGGAATTAACCAATTTCGAGCAGAGCAGCATTTCCAATTCCTAATTTATTTCAACACTTAAGAACTAAATAAAACATTAAAGCTGGACTAAAGATCATACCTTTGCAGTTCCTTCAGATACAGTCACCGCAAGATGCAATCTTCCCATCTTAATGTTCTGAAGGGGCAGCCACATGTCATGCCTCTGACCATCCCTAAGTTCGTTAATGTTGACACAACAATCTCTGCATTATTTGCACAATTAATTAAAAAGAGAACTAGTAAAAGAAAAGGACTAAAAAGCAACAGTAAATGAATTTGCCAAGAAAAAAATATTCGGGACAAAGGTTTTAATGTTAAAACAAGAAAAGAAAACAAACCCCATTGTGTCATCAAATATGCGGTCCTTATCACGAACTTCAATGACGAGAATGTTGTCTGATTCCCACGAGCAGATGGGGATTTTGAATTCCTCGCGCCATTTTGGAGCTAAGGTTTTCTTTTGAGTCTTTGTCCGAAATCTGTAAGGTCCTAATTGACCCTTCACGTATGGATCAGCCAATCCTGAAAAACACCACCAGTTTTAACTAACTAACATCAACCAAATCTGAAGGCACGATTAACTTGTCGAATTGAAAAGAAAACTAACCGTTCAAGTCTGACGGCTTCATCTCAGTAGCTTCAAGAACCTCTACGATAGCATGCGCAATAGGATCCTTTGCATCGACTGAGAACCAATTTTCTAACACTCAAGAAAATTTTGTGAAGTTAAGAATAAATAGTTACATCCCACTTCATAGAGAGAAATCCGAAGGGCTGTTGATTAATTTTTACATTTTGAATAAATATATATAACGAGTGAGAATACCTGGTTGCGGTGAGGAAAATTTTTCGACGTCAACCACAAGCATATTAGGCTGCAGATTTAAAGACATACAAAGATGAAAAGAGTAAACAAGATAATAGCAAACAAAAAAAAAAAAGAACAAAGACCAAAAAAGAACAAAAAAAAAAAAGCATACAAACAACAATAACATGTCTCTATACTTCTCAACTGTAGAAACCACAGAAGCAAAGAATCTCACCTCCACTAGAGTTTGCTCAAACACGAGTGCCAGAAGATTATCCTAAACCCAAAAAAAAAAGGACATATGAAGGCAGACAAATGAGAGGGGGATTAGCTAGAAGGTAGACGTGTACTTACGATCCAGCCAGCAATGCCGGGAAGTTCAGTTACATCGAGGCCGTGCGTGAATATAGGCTTCACGGTCATTTGAAAATAAGGAGGCGCAGCAAAGCATACACGCAAACGACTAATAAAAGGCCAGCTCCGGATGAACTTAACCCCAACCAAAACCTGCAACAAATAAAATGCGTTGCCATTGGTAATGTGCATTTTGCAAATTAAACTATATACACTTTTCGTTAATTACATTCATGCTTTTTCCCTGGCACTAAAAATAATTTCTTTTTTTTTACAGCGAAACTAACTGATTGGAAACAGATTAAATAAAGAAAGGAAATGGAATTAAATCGGGCTTAAGTATATAACACAACTATTCAGGCTGCATACAGATATATAGAGTCAATCTTAAATCTTTTGCTCACCTTCCCTTCAACATGCATACCCAACAAATGCAACTTGGCCCACATTCCAAAACCAAGTCTTTTCCTCAGTTTTACACCAAGAATTGCACTCATATCATCGGCGGTACGAAAATTCATCCCCAATTCTAGAACCTGCAGCATATTATCAAATAATCACTATACCTAGGTCATACGAACTAAATCCTATCTGTAAGATCACCTCTATTTTAAACATTGCTTACCAAGTGATCATCGCCATTAGAGTGTTGAACAACCCTCATATCAGTAATTATAGGTGGTGATCTTCCTAAGTAAAGATGCTGAAGCTCAACGTCTTTCTGTACATACAAAAAAACGGGTTACAAGATGAAGGTCTAAAAGATAAAGGGCTGGAACCACATGTATCAATTATTAGAAAATGTATATTTTTCCCCAAAATTTTAACTCATTAAAGAAATGTATATTTTTGTCATACCACTGTCCAAGGCTTATATTTTTTCAAGAACCATGGGAATATAGGGAGAAGAATCTTCTGAGAAACTATCTCCTCTATGCAGATAAGCCAAATCTTCTCGACGGCATGGTTCAGCCATCTAACAGTCTCAGACTCAGAAAGCACCTATAACAAGTACAAGAAAAGCCATCTAACAGTCTCAGGCTGTTTAAATAAATGGACTTGATAGAATCATAAGCTTCAACTTATTAAGAAAAGGCCAAAGACAAAAAGGGATCTTAGTCCTTTCAATAATCATGTAAACAAACAGCAGCCATGTTATATAACAGAAAAGATAAGAACTTTATTCACATTATAGTATCCTAAACCTCAGTAGAATATATACATACATTCAAAAATCAGTATCCCTTTTTTGTTCTTTTTCCTTCTTTCTTCTCCCCTCCTAATTCCTATCTTCAACTACAAAAATTCTGAAACTGAAATCAGCCTATGATATGAAAGCTAAAAGGAAAACAGTTACAAACAAAAGTAAAACAGAACAAGAAACTGAAAAAATGATCATTTACCCGTCTTTGATTAGACTCTCTTTTTTCCTCAAACTGCAGTTTTTTTCTCAATTTCAGCACATACCCTTCATGAACCTTCAAGTTCACCAAAACCCATCAGTCCCAATCTCATCAATATATTTTTCCCCTTAAATATATATATATATATATTTCAAAAATACAATCAAAACAAAGAGCCTCACCAGATAGAGATATATTAGAGAGAGAAAATAGGCAACGGGATGGCAACATTCGAACGAATTGAGACACCATAGCAAAAGCAGCACAACGCATACATGATGCAAAATCGTCGCGTCCGTTATACTACCCATCTAAATTATCTTATCCTTAATCAAGACAAAAACAAAATTAACAAAAGATCCAGTAGATTAAGAGACAAACACATATATTAAAACACAGCAGGCATTCATTTTCTTCAAACTTGCTCCATCTGGGTCGCCCGCCACCGTTCAACTGCATTCGCCACGACCAAGAAAATTGCAGAAAACCTTGCAGCTGATACATAAACCGATAAATACTGACGTGGGTTCTTGAAAGAGAGTAGACTTTTTTATTTTTTATTTTTTATTTTTTTCTAATTTCAATAAAAATCTGATCTTTTTCACTCGTTTTGAAAATTTTATTAGAAGACTGATCCCAATAAAAGATGGGGTGGTGTTGATTGTAGTATCAGTTTTCTTGCTCTCTTTCTCTCTCAATGTTTCACAGTTTTCTGCCATTTTTATTATATAATAACTGGATAAATACGTAATAAATAAATTTTATTATTATTAATTAACTCTGGTAAGAAAAAATGGACAGTTTGTGCCACGTGGCGGTGCCACGCGAAACAACGCGCCTACAACGCGACATGGCTGCAGATAATGCGGTTATCAATTCGCATTTATCTACAGTTGAGACTTAATTAACTCGTTTATAATACTTACACAGTTAATAATTCTACATAACTTCACTTCTATGAATTAATATGGGTTCATTAAGTCACTAAGAAAATAGTTGTAATTACATTAATTAATCATATGTAAAAATGTCTAAGCGTGTTGAAATTGTACTCCCTATATTTTACGTATCACATACTAATTATTTATTTTTTTTACACATACAAATACACAGGAGGATTAATACTAGTTCCCCAATTTTCCTCTTAGTGACTCGAACTCGGGATATGGTATACGCCGAGTGAGGTATGCGCCACTGCGCCAAACCCAATTCGTCATATCACATACTAATCTAATCTTCATTGATTGCATTATTCCCGTTTGCTATTCGTGACAACTCGTTTGACAAGGATATCAGTCTGAAGATTTCTCCATCAACAAATCTAAGAGTGTGAAGTGTGTGAATGATTAAATTCTTGTTATAGAGTGCAATAACTTCACATAAATGTGCAAAAATCTTGTACAAAACAGAAAAATAATAATAATAATAATATTCGAACACAAAATACAATTATTGTAAAATAACAAAGATTTGTTTGGCTATTAATTGATAAATAAAATATAGAAAAACAAACATTGGCACTTGTAAGAATTTGTAGTTTTTAAGCAAGGTCTAAACTGCTAGACAGACGAAAGAAGTTGTACTAATTAAATGGGCTTGTAAGAATTTATAGTTATTGGGCCATTAATTTATCAAACGCACTTGGGCCATCAATTTGAACTGGGATGATTTTTCAAATTTAGTCCAAACCCAAAAGTATAGCTAGCACACTTTTTATAGATGCAACTAATGCTAAACAATGGTCCAAAAAACATTCCCTTCTGTTAACTTGGGTAAGAATATGACAAATTGACAATAGAGCATAAACAAGATGAGTGTGCTGGCTACTGTTTAGCTTTAGTTTCAGCTATAAAAAATGCACTTTATAATTATTTAGAACCAATTTTTAGGTGAAAATAGTAATAGGGTTTAGTAAAACCAAGGATAACTGTCATTGAATCATGTATCAAAATGATAAACGTGTGTTCCATAAATCAATTGGTAAATCAATTTGGTAAAGTAGACTAACTTTAACGATGATTTCGCAAGTTTATCATACATGACATTTGATACAAACCTTTTTTTTTTCTTATATACTAATGCGTGGCCCGTGCGATGCATGGGAAAATAATATTACGATTGTGTGATAGTTTAAATATACAAATAAATTAATCAAGATTTACCTATCGTTTTTAAATTAAACCGTGCTGGACACAGTCCGATCGGATGGACCGAGAACCAGTTTATAATTAGTCTAGTTCACTTGAATAAAATATTTGCTATTGAATCTGTCAACACCAGTCGGTTTAACTGGTAGGATCGATACAATTTTCTAAAAAATTTTCGGTATATTTAAAATTATTTTAAATAAAATTACATACGTTAATAAAATAGAAATTTATAAATTATTTATCAATTAGTTTAAACATTTGAATTTTTAAATTATTTAGATATTTAAGTAACACATTTTATTCAAATTTATATATATATAAGCATATTTTTAAAGAAATAATTAAATTATATGATTAAATTTTATGATTATATTAAAGCGTATTTATACATTAAATTGTAAGATTTTTAAAGAAAAATAAGAAAAATAATAAAAATACTATTTATGGGTTGCATTAAATGCTGACCTATTTTTTTGCTAATAATTTTAATAAATAGGATGACTCTTTATATAAGTATAGATATTTGGCCTTGTATTATGGAAAATGCACCAAATCAAATCTCAACCGAGTTAGTTAGTTGTATTTCGACATATTTACGTGAACTTAGTACTCAAATCTCCTACTCTATATATGAAACAAAATAAATAAAACTATGACATATTATTACTTGCGTGACACATCTTCATAAAATAAAATTTGAAGGAATAACATTAAGTAGTTTAACGGCATAATTTGTACGAATAACTAACTATTAGATTATCGTTTGAAAAAAAAAAAATAACCATTAGGCAGTTTAACGAGAAATTTCGTAGAGTGTAAACTCATTTAAATAAAGAAAAAAAAAAGTGTATTGAGACAAACTTTTTGATTCATGTTCCTCCCAATTAAACCCTTCTTCATTTACATCCACATAAAATTTAATATCCCCAAAGTGTCACACAAAAGAACTCTCTTTCTTTTTATCTATATATATACTATACTGTCCATTGGTCTCTACTTTGTCTTTAGATAGAATCAAATAATGGGGTGTTGTGTGGCCATGTCATGAAAGCCAGATTCTGTGGCATTCAATCAAATGGCTTGCATATATTTTCTTCCATGAGATTATACCATTTGATATTTTGACTTTTTCTTTTATATATTTTGATTTGGACATATATATTCTTCTAAGTATGGGGTGGACAATGTGTCACGTGTAATATGAATTTAAAATCTTATAATCTCACAATTAATCCCCCTATATATTAATTCAGAACGTGTTGAGTCTAAGTGGCAGGCTCGCATGATTCGGGGTCTTATGTGACAAAATTACATGTTTCGTTATTAGGTTTGGGTAGATTTTTATTTACGTACAATCTAAAATAATTAGGTCTGGATTATTCGTAAACATGTTGATTATTTATCGTAACGTTACATTTATTAATTGTATTTTAATATTATTTTTTATTATAATCATTGAATTGTAAATGTATTTTAAAAGTTAATAACTTTTGTATTTTTTATCAGGTTTACATATATAATATATCAAATTAATTATCTCTTGGTGAGCTTCGATTTAACATGCATATTTGTATGTATAAAAATAAATAAATTATATTTATTTATAACAATAATAATAAAATTAATTTTAGAATAATTTTTTAACAAATACTCATGTAATACACAGATGTTGTATTAGTTCATATTGATTCAGCAATATTTGCATTTTGGCTGCAAAAAAATTATTTATTTTAAAATTTAACAAAAATTGAACCAACGAATGCTTATGGACAAATACAGGGCACACCTTGCTAGGTGTGCCAGGGGCTTTTGTGAAATGCTATATTCCCAACTGCGCGTGAGATAAGAGGTAAGGAGGTAAGTTATTTTTTTTTTAAAAAAATGGGACATGTGTCCCATATATCATATTATATAAATTAAATTATCATTCATGTTTTGTATCAAAAAATAAAAATAAAAATACAAAAATTCATAATTTTTCATTCTCTATAAATAGAGACCGCATTTGATATTTTCTGGAACACAATTAATTTATCATTTTTTACAATTAATTTATCTTATTGGAAGATTGTGACGCAAATCTATAAAATTAGATGAATATATTACATAGTAAGATGAACATGTTATAGAGTAAGATGAACATGTCATAGAATAAGATGAAAATGTTACATTTTCACAGATGAAATTTAGATGAACATGTTCTAAAATAAGATGAACATGTTACATAATAAAATGAACATGTTATAGAATAAGATGAACATGTTACATAATAAAATGAACATGTTATAGAATAAGATGAACATGTTTACATTCCATATCTACATCACGGGCTCTCACATTATTTTCTCCCATTTCCACTTCATACACAAAATTCTGGTTAATTTCTTGCTCGATTTTCACTCGTTCAATGCAAGCATCCCCGCCCTGAAATAATAAACCATAATCTACAGTTAAGAACTCAAATTTATGCAATAGTCATACTATAGGGAATGAAAGTGAAAAACTAGTATAATGTAAAAGAAATTCCATAAATTAGTCTTTCGATCAAATATTTTCCACCGCCACAAACCAAAATCCTCTCTAATAACTAATAAGATGAAAATGTTACATTTTCACAGATAAAATTTAGATGAACATGTTATAAAATAAGATGAACATGTTACATAATAAAATAAACATGTTATAGAATAAGATGAACATGTTACATACACAATAAGGTGAACATGTTATAGAATAAGATGAACATGTTACATACACAATAAGGTGAACATATTATAAAACGAAAAATTAGTTGTGTTAAAAAACCTATCAAATGTGGGATCTATTTATAGATAATGAAAAATTATGAATTTTAGTATTTTTGTTTTATTTTTTTAATATAAATAATTAATGATATTTTAATTTATGTAATATGCCTCATTTTTCAATTAAAAAAAATTAGAGATGTGCACTTAATTTCTCTAATTTTGGAGAATGAGGGACGCGTGTAAATGTACCTGGCACACCTACTACGGCACACACACGGTAGTGGTGCTACTGATGCTTATGTGGCGGCCACGTGAGACATCATCACATGGGCCGATGCTCCCCTTGCTTTCAAGAATAGTGCTTTGAACTTTGGGATAGGGTCAATAATTTTCAATTTAAATAAATAAAAAAAA